TACTTTCTTAAATGGAGATCCATGAAATTTACTGAATGACAACATATTTTAGAGTTGGGTCTACAGTAAATCCCAACTAAAATGAACCATTTATTCCTAGCTTGTGAGTGGGCAGTGCCTGGATGCTGAGTCCTGGGTTAGGGTACTTCTAGGTGTCCATTTCCTTACATGATAAGTAAGAGTTTCTCCTCTAGTTATCCCATTAGGATTGAGATTATGAAGTGAGATAAATAAAAAATGCTTTGAAAACGCTGTGCAAATGGACAAACATAAACATATCCATAATTGTTTTGTTCAGGTAGAGTTTTTGGTGGGTAGGGTAAGGGCGGGTAATGCTATCTTGCCACCAGAATGTTCATTTGAAGAGCTAAAGAAGTGGAATGCTAGATACGTGTGAGATCCTGTATGTGTAGCAGTGCATGCATGGCTGGTCTATTGAGCCCATGTTACCTATAAAGTGTATTGCTGGATCATGTAACTCTGTCTCTATAATGAAAGTATCAGACTGTTCTGCAGACAAGGGAAAGACGAAGTTAATCTTCAGCGTATCATTCAAAGTTCTATCATCCTGTGGCCAGATGGCAATCGCTGTTTCCTTGTTCTTTTTAATATTATTTCTCTACTCTATTAAATTCCCATAAAGCCAAACAGTGTTGTATTATTTGAGAATTAACTATGGTTCCTATCCTACTCTTGATTGAAAAAGTCATTCAGGCAATATGAATTAGTGATGCCAAATGATCATTAAGGCAATTTGGATGTGATTTTTTTTCCCACCAAGGATTTGGAGCTCTCATTATAATGGTCTAGCAGCTACAAACATAAAATAGGTAGATGGAGTAAATCATTAATTAGTGGAGTGTATGAGCTCCTGGATGGCTCTTTTAGTATAATCTGTCCTGCAGTTGTTCATGAATTTGGCCCCAGAATCCTGTCAATCACACACTATAGGCTTTTCCCAGATCCTTCTTGATTACAGATTTCATAAGGCAGTGTTTAGACCCCAACCATCATCTCAATACCTTTGTTCTCAAATAACGGAAATGCTGGCCTGGCACTACCAGGCCTTTAAAAAGGGGAACGAATTGTAAAAGGTAAACTGTTAAAGTGCCCAAATGTAAGAATCTGCTTAACAAAGTAAATTTTTAATACCAGACGTGATCATTCCATTAAAATAAGACTCCTTTCTAAATTTTACCCAAGGATGATTTGAGAATAAAAGTACTGAGGCATAGTGAGTACACTGCAGCCATTTCAGATTTTTTGAGTGGAAATATATATCTGCATGTTGCCACAATGCAAGTAATCAGCAGGGAATTATTTACTCAAAGACATCATAGTAGAACCTCCATTAAAAGGCTAAGGATAAGGAAAACATCCATACTATGGGTTGCACTGAAATGAGAGAATGAACATTACTATGTACACCAAAAGCATGTTTTTATGCACAGAACTTATGTAATTCCAAGACATTTAATTGCGTTCATGAGGAGCCTGTACATAGACCAAGAGGCAGTGGTTCAAACAGAACAAGGGGCTACTGCGTAGCTTAAAATCAGGAAGGGTGTGTGTGTCATCTAGCAACAGCAACAGAACTTGTGTGTCATGTAATAACATAATTTCTCACAGTACAGCTCAATTTTGAATAAACGGATTACTTGTTGCTGTAGTGAATATGAATGGTGGTTAATATGGAGTATGGAGAAAGGACAACAATTTGAGAAACCTTTCAGTTACTAATTATACATTTGCATCAGGATTGATTTGCTGCTAGTCTTATGAATTTGTAGAATGTCAAAGGCATACATATGCAAATGTCATATAAAAATATCTTCTAAACTTCTAAACTCAACATCAATTACATCTGGATCATTTCCTTTTCTGGATTCTTACTATTATAACTACATGGAAAGATGCCCATATAATTAATATCTTACATATTTTATATTAATTGTACCCACATGATAACTTTACCTGAAATATACATTACTCCTCCATACACAGTCCCAGCATGTCCATAATGCGGCTCACTCATTTTGGCAACATATGTCCATTCATTGGTTCTTGGATTATAGCATTCCACTGTAGCTGTTATTTAAAAAAAAAAAAGGAAATTATTTTCAATCTACAATTGTACAATTAGCTATTTTTCCTTTTAAATGAAACAATAACAACATCCAAAGAACTTAAACATATCTATTCATGTATCAGAAATTATTTAAGGGTGATCTTGTAGCAATTGTTAAGACTACATTAATAATATGAACCATAATAAATGTTACATTAGACTAGAAATAATGTAATAATATAACACATTTCTGTCATTGAAGAAGTCTGTGGAATTTATTTTCTTCTAACATCTTGCTAAATCTTTATAATTTGTCATTTTATATTTGGCTTTAAAAATGTGAGAATGATGAGGAAAAAAATTATGAGGAAGGAAAAATACCTCAATCCTCGACTGCCCCTGTTGACACACCACATAGAAACATACATTGGTATATATTGAAGCTAAATTTTAAATTGACTAGAGACTGAAAGTATGCTCACTACCTGGTTTATGTTTTGAAGAGAGATAAGACTATTGCCTCATTTCATATTCAGACTACAAAATGGACACTGATAATCATTTCCCCACATTTATACTTTTATACATGAAAGCCAATAATTTGTATACACCCACTATATTGCAGCCAGTAGCACTGAAGATGACTAGCAGCCAAATATAAAGTTTTTGGAGAAGTGACCTCAACTTACTTAAATATCTTTAATTTAATCTGCTATAACCTCAATAACAGAACAAGGACAGTCTAGGTAGATGAAAAATGCAATCCTTTTTTTAAAAGTAGAAAAGATAAAGAACTGTTAAGAGGTCTCTAGTCATAAGCACGGAAGCTCTGGTAGCATAGTGGCTAAGGCACTTGAGTGCTAACCAGAAGGCTGGCAGTTCAAACCCACCAGCCACTCCTCGGAAGGAAGATGGGGCAATCTACTTCTGTAGTGATACTGCCTCGGAAACCCAAGGAGGGATAGCTATGAGTCGGGTCCAACTCATCGGCACATAACAACAACAGTCAAAAGCACAAAGTCTAGACCGACTTCAAAAGTATACTCCTCTATATCTTGTAAACACTGCCAGTTGCTAACCCAATTTCTCACCTTTCCCAACTCTGCTTTTGCTCTTACTAACAGCACAACGCTGCACAGGGAAGCAACGTGCCAAATTAAAAATCAAAATTCTAATTAGTAGGCTCCCTTATAGTCAAGGTTGACCATATAAATTTTCAGCCAATGACACATAAGCAAAAGTCTACTGAATGGGGCTATCTGAACAATCCACTGGAATAAGGTTTTGGCTACTTGCTGTCAAACACAATCCTAACTGATGAGACATCCTTTAAACAAGATTTCCTATTTTAAAAAAAATAAATGACCACAAGGAAGACAAGAGAGAAAAAGAGAGAGGTTTATTTTTTGCTCTAGTCAATAATTTTATTTCATCAATTACACTATGCAAAATACTTCTTTCTCCCAGAACCGCGGCCATATTAGACCACATCTCATACTGCTCTATTGATTTCCTTTTCCATTTACTTGAGTTTTGAATCCCAAAGGCTCTCACTATTGTCATTTTGATGAACTCTCTTGTTAGCGTTATTCATTATTTTAGGCCTAAAGCTTACCTAACTTTGTTTCTTCTAACCCTCCCATCAAGTACAGGATCTTGCAAAATCTTTTGCCCAAATAAAGTCTGTTTCCACAATTAATGACAAGCTAGAACTGCTTCATGCTCCAAAGACCGTTTTTAACTATTTCCAAGAACTGGATGTCTTCTTTAATATTCATTTCCATTTGCCTTTAGCATGACTTTCACACAATTGACTGGCAAAAATTTACTGAATGTACATTATCTCTCTCTTCACTTATGGAGGACCTAGCATATTGATTGGGACTTGGCATCAGAAAAGTAATTAGTGGGAAGATTTTTATCTAATACAATAGAGGTGTCTAAAATCACACCTCCTATCAGAAAAGGGGTTTAAAAAGCTTCCAGAGATCATCTTCTTCATCACCTTGATGCCAATAAAAGATTTCACTATAGTTCTATACTTTTCTTTATGCAGGATTTTGCCTTAAACTTTAAAATTTCTAGAGTGTAGCAATCCTACCTTATGTCTAATTCAATCTGTTCTGAGGCAATTTCAATTAATTTCCTCTTATCCTTTTTATAGTGGAGCTAGAAGTTGAATAGCTAATCACTCTTCATGATTAACAATATTTTTCCTATGTAGAAAGATAATAATGTTACTCTGTCAGTGAGTTAATTGCATTTTTTTCCATAATAGGGTTTCTAAGAATCAATCTAGACTCTCTCATTTGGAGCCCCTCAGTGCAAGAGGGCTATCAACCACCAATAACCGTAAAAACTATATAATAGTCATCCCTGAACTTTTCTTCTTCCAATTAAATAATCCATCTCCATTAGCTTTTCCAATCCCTTTATCTTTATTGTCAACCTTTAAACGTTCTCTATGTAGAACTGCTATTGTTATTAGTAAAATAGATATTATTCAGTTTCGGAATTGAATGTATTTAATTATGTTGTTGTTGTTGTTATGTGCCGTCAAGTCGGACCCGACTCATAGCGACTTCTCCTTGGTTTTCCGAGGCAGTATCACTATGGAAATAGAGCGCCCCATCTTCCTTCCGAGGAGTGGCTGGGGGGTTTGAACCACCAGCCTTCTGGTTAGCAGTCAAGTGCCTTAGCCACTATGCTAGGAAAGCTCCTGAAGGTGAGGATACTGTTACTATTTTACAGTTAGGAGCTCTGGTAGCATAGTGGCTAAGGCACTTGACTGCTAACCAGAAGGCTGGTGGTTCAAACCCACCAGCCACTCCTCAGAAGGAAGATGGTGCACTCTATTTCCATAGTGATACTGCCTCGGAAAACCAAGGAGGGGCCGCTATGAGTCGGGCCCGACTTGACGGCACATAACAACAACAACACACACACACACACACACACACACATATATATAAGCTCTTATTTCTATTCTCCATGTTTACAAGATAGTCAAATATAGGTAAATGTCAACAACTTTTTGGAGGCAAGGTTTGACACAAGGCAGAGTTAGAGCCCCCAAAGAAGTGGCGCCATCATAGTCTATGAGATACAGAAATGAGACAACTAGGAAAATATAGATCGTGGTCAGCAAGCTATAATCTGTGTGCCAAAACCAGTCCACTACCTGTATTTGTATGGTCTACAAGCTAAGAGATAACAATGGTTTTTTCACATTTTTAAAGCATCGGAAAAAATCAAAAGAAGAAGATTATGTGACATGTGAAGTTCAAACTTCATTGTCCATAAATAAAGCTTTATTGGAACATAATGACACCTATTTTTATTAATTGTTTACAGCTATGTTTGCACTGCAATGCCAGATTTGAGTAGTTGTGACAGAGATGATATGGCCTGCAAAGTTGAAAACATTTACTTTCCAGGCCTTTACAGAAAGTGTTTCCTAATCCAGAAAATCAATTTCAGTAGTCTGGTGCCTGTTTAGTAAAAAAGCGCTCTGATGTAAGAGTTACACTCAGGTTGGTTATTTCATATCTCACCCGAGGTTCTTATCTTCCCATGTGATTCTACTGGATTCTAGAATGAGCTCCAAAGGACAATGTGGAACTTTCTTGATCTTTGAGATCTTCCTCTTTTGAGGAAAGAGACCAGGCGTGAAGAAAACCATTTGGAACAATTATGATTGCCATACATGGGGGTTGACTTCAGGATCCTAGAGTGCTAATTGGTGATGGACTGCTTTATCAAACAAATGCCCAAATCCATTAAGGGATAATAAGGCATTTGACAATTTTCAGTAATTTTATTATACATTTATTTGAAAAAAAAATTGAGTACATTTTCTATAAGTTGTTTCATTATTTGAAAGCTTGAGTTACTGAAATGAAAGATATCTGAGCTGTCACATTCCTCTTCAATATAGAAAACCTCAATGGAAGATCGATGTCTTATATGACAACTTTGAAAGATGCCAGAAATAACTGACTCCTTTTTCACTTAAGTGACAGCTAGCCTATGTTTCCCCTAGTTCCCCTGTAAGTGTCAAAGGAATGTCACATTTCCAAGGAATTATATCTCCAACAAAAATCCAGGCTCATACACACACTAGTCTCTTTTTGGTGTACTATGAACTTAATTTTTTTTTCCCTTAGATCTATAAACTCCATTAATAATGAACAGAACAAGGGGACATTGCATGGCTTAAAATCAGGAAAGGTGTTGTCTGGGGTATAGCCTTTCTCCATATTTATTCAATCTGTATGCTGAGCAAATAATCCAAGAAGCTGGATGATATGAAGAAGAATCTGGCATCAATATTGAAGGAAGACTCACTAACAACCTGTGATATGCAGATAACACAACTTTTATTGATGAAAGTGAAGATGACTTGATGAAGATCAGAGACTACAGCCTTCAGTATGGATTGCACTTCCACATAAAGAAAACAAAAATCCTCACAACTGGACCAATAAGCAGCATTACGATGAATGGAGAAAAGATTGAAGTTGTCAAGGATTTTGTTTTATTTGGATCCACAATCAACAGCCATGAAGCAGCAGTCAAGACATCAAGCATCAAATTGCACTGGGCAAATCTGCTGTAAAAAACCTCTTTGAAGTGTTAAAAAGCAAAGATGTCTCTTTGAAAACTGAGGTGCACCTCACCCAAGCCATGGTATTTTCAATCTCCTCATATGCATGTGAGAGCTGGACAATGAATGAGGAAGACTGAAGAAGAGTTGATGCTTTTGAGTTGTGGTGTTAATGAAGAATACTGAATGCACCATGGACTGTTAGAAGAATGAACACATCTGTTCAGAGGAAGTACAGCTAGAATGCTCCTTAGAAGTGAGAACGGCAGACTTTCTCTCTCGTACTTTGGCCATGTTGCCATAAGGGACTAGTCCCTGCAGAAGGATATCATGTTGGGTGAAGCAGAAGGCCAGTGAAAAAGGGGAGGGCCCTCGAGGAGATGGAATGCCACAGTGGCTGTAACTATGGGCTCAAGCTTGGCAAGATTGTGAGGCTGGTGCAGGACCAGGCATTGCTTCGTTCTGTTGTACACAGGGTCGCTATGAGTCAGGACCAACCTGATGGCACCTAACAAAACATACACTCCATTAAAGCATTTTAAAAGGGCAAAGACATTAATATGTCATGAAAATGCTCTCACTGTTTTCTTTTTGTATTATAGATGTTGTTATCGTTAGGCACTCTCGAGTCAATGCTTACTGTGTGTATAAACAATGACGGATGTGCAAGTACTGGTGAACTTGTTAAATTGTTAAATGATTTTCCCATCAATCCTCTTTCCCAGTGACCCACTGCTATCCCCTTCTCTATTTATACAGGAATATGAATATGTTAACATAATCATTAGAGATGTGAATGTTAATTTATTATAACAGATGTGTCAGAAAAAAAAAAAAAAAAAAGGAAGTCTCCCAACACACTACATATGGAGAAAATGGGATGTCTGTGGAGCAGAGGAAGAGTTAGAAAAAAACTCAGCCTCTGGTTGGAACATTCAGAATTACAAGCAAGAGTTTATTTAGAACTAGAATCTGGTGTTCTGCAAAGTCAGTGGGCCCAAAAACAATGGAAAGGGCAACTGAAACAAATTATTTTCTTATTTATACAAAGAGAAACATTATAAATGGATACCATTCAGAAGAACTCATTGATATTATTCTCTCAAGAGGTTGTTGTTGTTGTTGTTGTTGTTGTTGTTATGTGACATCGAGTCAGACTTGACTCATAGCAACCCCTCCTTGGGTTTCCCAGGCGGTATCACTACAGAAGTAGATTGCCCAACCTTCTTTCTGAGGAGTTGCTGATGGGTTTGAACCGCCAGCCTTCTGGTAGACAGGGCAAATAAATCTTTAAGTTCTGCTAGAGTAACAATAGTTGATGAAAGAATGTGACAAGATAGGGTACTTAGACTACTTCTTGCTCTCACTTGGCTATAACAGAGAAGGAGGTGGGGCAGGTCAGAAAAATGAAGCATCTTCTTGGTTTTGTGGTATGACTCTCTTTGGTGTAAGACTCCTTGAATCAGGGTTCTTGATTTGACTATACTTAATAAGTCAGCTACATGATTTTTTTTTAAAACTTCCAATATGTTTTAACTTAAAATATTTAGAACAGAATGAATTGGCTGGGTGTGCTGATTTTAAAAGAAGCAATCATTTTTGACAAAAGCATCATTATTTAAAGATTTATAGGTAATTATTTCAAAGAAAAAGAAACATCAAACTATTAATCTTTCAATGAAATTAGAGTTGTTTCTTGGTATGCAGTATTTTTGCCTATATTACAATCATACATGCACTTGTGAAAAATGCATAAAACCACCCTGTATTTGCCATCTAGGGAGAGAATTTTTAAAAAAATCATAATCTCTAGGTTAAACTTTGGGGGCTTATGTTTTTGAAAACCTAAATATAATCACATGGTTAATATGAATTTAAGCATAGCTCACTAAAAGCCTGATTCTCTTGTATCTTTTCACTTTCAAAATGAAACACAGAAACCTGTTTTCAATCAGAGATAGAGGAGGTGGTTTCTGAAGGTCGTGAGCAAGGAAGCATATGCGTGAGTCACCTGCCCAATGGGGCACTTTACTTCTTGCTCCCATTGGGTATAACAGGAGATGGGGATGGGTCACAAAAATGAAGCCTCTACCTTCTGGGTTTTATATCACGACTCTCCTTGGCCAGAAGATTATAAACTCCCAGAAAAATAAGTCCCTTTAATTAAGAATTAGAACTAGGAAGGATATTGAAAAGATAGTAGCTGCATATTATCAAGGGTGATAAAAATAAGCAAGCAAGCTATTTCCTTTGAGAAAAGGAATTACAAAATGAACACTGACTGCTGGGGTAATGACCTCAAATTGTAACAGAAGTTTTAAGGATAATTTTATACAAGCTGTTTTTCTAATAACTACCTTGAAGTCACTACTTGCATTGTCTGGAAATTTCCAGACACCATAAATTGACAACAGTAAAATAATATGAAAATACAATGTGAGGTTTGAGTAAGGAAACCTGAAATGACAATTCCATCCTATGGGGACTCATGCCTCAAATGCTTTCAGAAGTCTGATTAATAAAATGAGAAACTATATAGCTCATCGGAAGGAAGACTGGGCAATCTACTTCCATAGAGATACCACCCCAGAAACCCAAGAAGGGGTTGCTATGAGTCGGAACCAACTTGACGGCAGTTAGAGTGAGATGTAGTTCATGATCATGCCACTCAGTCCAACAATCTGGACAGTCTTATTGTAGATAAAACTCCACTTTAACAAGAAAGGGGAAAAAATTATAAGTAGGAAAGATCAGTAACATTAGTACCATGGCCCTAACAAGAAAGGGCTTTATAAATTGGAATGTATTTTTTCTCCTCAATGAATAGCTTGGTCTCTGTCTCTAATCCATTTAATTATATATTTTTCTTAGAATATTGAGAAAAAAGATCCTTAGAATCACTCTGAAATTAGCCAGAAATATCAATATTTTAAACTTCTCCACCACTATGGAGCCTACAATACTGGTTGACTACCAGGAATACTGAAAGTACCCAGGGCTGCCAGAAAAACGAACAAATTTGTCCTGGAAGAAATGCAGCTGGAATGCTCCTTTGAAGTGAGAATGGTCAGACTTCATGTCACCTACTTTGGCCATCTTGTCAGAAGGGACCATTCCCCTGGAGAAGGATATCATGCCTGGTAAAGCAGAGGGTCAGAGAAAAAGGGGAAGACCCTCAATGAGATGGATTGACACAGTTGCTGCAGTGATGGACTCAAGTATAGCAAGGATTGTGAGGCTGGAGCAGGAGACCGGGCAGCGTTTCGTTCTGTTGTACAGAGGGTTGTTATGACCAACTCAATGGCAGCTAACAACAGCAGGATTCTATTAACAACGGAGATAAAAGAAGAGAGACAAAAGAGAAGAAGAACAAAAGAAAGAAAAGGCCAAATAATGATGGTAATGATAGATAAATGTCATAATACAAGATGTGGTCTTCTTGACTTCATTTTATCTAAAATAACAAAATGGCACCTTGTAGTTAGTGTTAATTTATATAGCCAAAGTATTGCTATGTTAAATTGTACTAGGGACCAATCTTAGATTAGGAAGACATAAAGTGACCATCAAATAAAGCTAATGAAATCAATTGACAGCAAAGAAAATGGTTTGATATTTCATCAAGAGAGAAAGATTTTTAAACTTCATAGTAACAAATTATAAAACTCAGAGTAAATAAACTTTGGATAATACTGAACTTTGTACACTTAATCTACAAAGGAAATCTCTCACTGTGTACCTTCTGACAGGTAATGGACTATGTACAAGAAGAAACGACAGTCCATCCTCTATAATGGAGGATTTTAACCTGTTTGGTAGACTATCACGTGGGGCTTTTAAAAATGGAAAATGAGGAAATATGCCAATTTTTGCCCAAATTTCTGTAAGAATTTAAATTAGTTAAATATACTTGTTCAGTTGTACCTTCAAGATGAAAACCATATATCCTTCCCAAATAACATATTCTACAAAGTACGGATTTATGTATATCATTTGAACCCTGGCCAACAATATATGCCCAGATAAGGCATACAAATGGCCTCTGAAACTTTCTAAGAAAAGTAGTTTAAAAAATGAAATCTTAGCTACATTTTCTGTCTTTAATTTTACAGAAATGCTTGTTTAATGACTTGACAAGAATTTCTGTGTAAAGAAATCCATTTCTATGCTTAAAATATATGCACATACTTACGCAGTTCGCCAGCTGCATTTCGCCCGCCAACTGCATACAGATATCCTTTGAGGGCACTTAGGTGGAAGAAGGTGCGCTTTTCATTTAAAGATGCAACTTGCATCCATTTATTGTATCGAGGATCAAATCTGAAGACTGTATCGACTGCTGTTTTCCCTTTTGTGTCGTAATTACTCTGTCCACCAACGACATAGAGAAAATTTCCAATGACGGCAATGCCATGCTGGTACCTTGGGGCATCCATGGGGGCTAACGATTTCCACTCGTGGGCCTTTTCGTCATATATGCGCAATTCTTTGCTGACAACCAGCTGCTGCCTTAGCACTCCTCCTAGCGTAACCAGATGAGTGGTGTCAGACCGAATGGCAGTCCTGTCTGACTGCATCACTGGCTGCATATATGGCATCATTTGGTAGTTACTGGCTTCCAAAAGCAGATTCACACAAGTATTGTCAGTTCTCATGAAATCCACGGTTTGCACATAATTAATAAGTTCCTGTGGCGTCATCAGTGGAAATCGTATGTTCTTCATTAATTTTGCAGCAAAGTCCATTCGAGGCTCTTCCAGGCGTAGCCAGCGACAGGTAGCCTTAAAGAGCTCAAGTTCAGTGCAATGCTTAAGGCTATTACTGGAAAGCACAAAGGCAAGACGCTCGAAGGGGAGTTTCAAGAACTCCCCAGTGCTCAGCAATGCAGGAAAATTCTTTAGGACAAAATTATTTACGTATTTATCCACTTCTGTCAGATTGTAGGTGTTGGCAATCCGCCCAACTTCAACACAATTGTCTAAAGTGACCTAGTAAGCCAATAACAAAGAATTAAAACCCCACATTTTCGTGACACTCCAGCGAGATAGAAATTTTGGGAAAATAGACAGTTATAATCAGAAGGTCAGCGGTTCAAACCCATCAGCTACTCTGTGGAAGGAAGATGGGGCGATCTACTTCCTTAAAGATTTATAGCCTCAGAAACCCAATGGCAGTCACTGTGAGTTGAAGTTGACTCAAAGGCAGTGAGGTTTTTTTTTTTTTTTTTTTTTTTTCGTATTCAATTATACCAGAAGCCCTGGTGGTACAGTGCTTAGGCACTTGGCTGCTAGCTCAAAGGTTGGTCATTCGAACCCACCAGCAGCTCTGCAGGAGTGAGAGAGTCTGTTGCCGTAAAGATTTACAACCTTGGAAACCTTATGGGGCAGTTCTACTGTGTCCTATACGATTGTTATGAGTCAGAACTGACACAAAGGCAGTGGGTTAAGGTAGAGGAGAGACACTATAGAGAGCCCCTTCTTCAACGAGATCTCTTTTCAATACTTTAATAACTGATTGGTTAAAAGTGAAAATAACAATTTAACCTCAGTAAGTATAACATAGGGAGCTCTGGTAGCATAGCGCCTCAGGCATTTGGCTGCTTACCAGAAGGCTGGCGGTTCAAACCCACCAGCCACTCCTCAGAAGGAAGGCTGGGCAATCTACTTCCATAGTGATACAGCCTCGGAAACCCAAGGAGGAGTCGTATGAGTCGGGTCCAACTCGATGGCACATAGCAACAACAACAACAAATATAACACAAGGAATTAATCACAAAAACATGCCTGCCAGAAAAATGTCAGTATGTGTGAGTATAGACACAGAGAAAGGTTATAGGCAAAGGACTCAAATGCATTTTTGTCACACAAACTTCCCTCAATGCAATTGTATTACTAACAGATTAGCGTATGGTTAAAAGAAGATTGACTAATCCTTCTATGATCCTTCTATTGAAAAGCTCAAGGGAGACAAAAACATTACGTCTCTGTGTAATATAAAAGTTTAGTTAAGATATACTAGCAAAGAAAGCTCTAAGATTAACACACACAGAGCTATTTTCACTGATTTATTACTCAAAAAATATTTCAACTCTTTTACACAGCTGATTTGCTTTATGAACATCATCAAAATATCTTTCTAATTGCTTATTATACTTGATAGTTACAAACTATAACTTTAACACAAAAGAACTCAGTTTATAGCATGTGAAATAAGCCACGATTACAGACTAGAACAAATCTTTATACTTTATACTTTAGGAATCAAGGTATTTAATTCCTTCCTCTTTTCTCTCTTCAATTTCACCCAACAAGAAAAATAATTACTTAAATAACAGTATAATAAAGCCTACCTTTTATTTAAAGACACTTATAATACCCGAAGTATATGTTATACACCAGTACGCACACAAACAGATTCAGAGGACTAGAAAAGATCTTGACAATTCACGTAGTCAATACAGATAGCTGCCTACTCTCTAGTGGCGTAGTGCCTAAGGCATTTGACAGCTAACTAGAAGGCTGGTGGTTCAAACCCACCAGCCACTCCTCGGAAGGAAGACTGGGCAATCTACTTCTGTAGTGATACTGTCTTGGAAACCCAAGGAGGGGTCGCTATGAGTTGGATCCAACTCAACAGCAGTGCATTTTCTTGTATTAAGAACTGCTAGAGAATAATATTTCATGACCATCTGAATCGCCATCTTCTTGATACAAGGAGGACTAGATATTCTCTATAGCTCATGTACAACAGCTACCACACTGTGGGAATGTAGCAAATAACTATGAGTAATAACAACAGAAAATCAAATATACAATGATAAATGCAACTAAAAATAGCCTACCTTTCAAACTAATACAGTAAATTTCTAGAAGCTTATTAATTTTAAAATGAGACTCAGATGAGGAAAATATGTAACAGGAAATTAATTTTATCAAGCACATGTCATCAAACCTACAGAAATTAATCACAGCACATAAAAAGTAAAGATTCAAAAGATAGAAAAACAGTTAACAATATAAGCAAACCAATAAGGATGGACTAATGATAAGCCAGTTTTGGAAAAGTACAGGATAATTTTATTATGGTTCATTTCAATCCATTTCTCAGTCATGATTCTTAAAAATACCTTAGATAGCAGATCCACAAACATTTATTTAGTCTGTTGTTATTAGGTGGCACGGAGTCATCTCTGACTCATAGTGACCCTACACACAGAAGAATGAAACACTGCCCGGTCGTGTGCCAGC